TAGTGTGAGAAACTGAAAGTGTAAATAAGGACTAAAAGGTATAATAGATAATGTGAAATAGGAAGAAAAAGGGAAAAGGGGAAGGGGAAGTGTCGGGGGTAGGGGAAAGAAAGAAAAGAATGGAAGTAATATGAGAAAATGAAAAAATAGAAACAGAGTCTTTGTAAATAGGGAGGGATGGAGGGGTTGAAGGGAAGCACCAAGAGAGATTATGTAAAGGTGCAAATTTCCAGTGATGAATGTCATTATATTGTACACCTACAATGTACCAATAAAATTAATTGTAAAAAATAAATAAAAATAAATTCTGATATTATTCATATCTGTAGTTCTCATTAGTGATTTAAATATCTTCAGGTCTTTAGAATCTGAAGTTTTGACCATGAATCTCCACAGTGTGAAGCTCAAGAATTATTTTTGCCACACATTGTTGACAGCTAATAGGAGGGGGAAAGTTAGGCTGTTGTGAAAATATGATCATGTTTCCATGTGAAGGATTCACCCTTATATGGCCTTGAACCATAAGGCCCATATGCACAGCTATCTTGAGAAAGAAATAAATAATATGATGTAAAGAGTTGTATCTATCCTGTCATCTTGAATGTGTCATGGATTAAATTTAAATGATGCTTAACAATATCCTAAAGAAGAGGGAGAATAAATGAGAAGAGTTGCTTAGTAAGGAAGTATAGAACACCTAAATGGGCTGAGAAACCAGGCGTAACTTGTCAGGGTTCTTCAGAGAAACAGAAACAGTGGATATGTATATGGAAAGAGGGAGCAGCCATTTTTTTTAAGGAACTGGCTTACAGGATTATGGAAACTCGAAATCCAGGGACAGGGATTTAGCTCAGTCGTGCCACTGCCTGTCTCACAAGCGCAAGGTCCTGAGTTCGATCCCCGGTACCAAAAAAAGAAAAAAAAGAAACTGGAAATCCAAATATGCAGAGTGGGCTGGCAGGCTGGAGACCAAGAGAAGAGCTAATGTGTAGTTAAGTCCCAATGTCATCTGCTGAGAAATCCCTCCTTCTGTGGAGGTGGTTTCTGTTACATCCACCGGTCTCCTAACTTCCTAACCCTTTAAAACTCCACACTAAGTAGAAGAATTTAAAAAGTTGAATGATATGGAATGAGTGTGACTATTGGAATGTTATCCCCTCAGCTACTTATTACACACACATTTTATACAAATTGCAAATAGGTCACATTTCAGTCAAATGAAGATACTGTAATGTTGTGCTTCAAAAGCACCTCTTTAAAGAAAGGTACTCAAAAGAAAACAATCTAAAAAGTCATGTTTCTGAAATACATAGTAGATTAAAAATTACTAAGGGGACATAGTGAATAAGACCAATGGAACTATTCTTCTTATCTTCACATCAGCACCAAAAATAGACCAAGAAAGTTGGAGAATACATTTTATTTTTAATCATTAACTTGTATTATAAGAACACCACAAATTCAGTACAAAATGGATGAAATGCACAAAAGGAAGCATGGATATATCATATCATCAATATATCAAACTGGTTAAACAGAGATTTAACAGTTTTAAAAATAGAACTTTAGTTACACAGAAAAATTTATTTGTGATATTAAATCCAGCTACTGGTCTGGACACTTTTATATGCATTAATTTATTTGAGAAAGTTTCTATGGGAATCTCACAATTAACATTCCATCATGTGCTTAATCTTTATTCGGAACTTGGTGTGTATTTAGAAGGGTATTTTTTAAAAGTTTCTTATATTTTTTCATCAGACTTATCAGGAATGCAAACATTAAATAGTAGTTGCAGATAGCAAGTCACCTTTTCAAAGCAAACCAACTTTAGCTTAAAATATGTTAAAGGTATATAAAACAGTAATCCACTGAGAAGAAAAAGTAATACATAGATATAATGCATCTTTGGAGACTTTATCAGTGGGATCAAAACCAAGCTCAGGGAAAAGGCCATGTTTATGAATATAAATGGTGTAAAGACCTGAAAAAAACAAAATTTAAAAAGTGATTATACATGAAAATACATATTTCATACCTGCATATTTATATGAACACAAAAGATATAAACTAATGATTTTAAAAACAGGTTAAATTATCTAAGTTAGGTAAACCTGGCTTAAAATTCAAATAAATGCTTGGGTAAAAGGCAATGTGGAAGATTCTTTGCCAGAAAATGGATTGCAGGGAATGAACATCTAGCTTGTGACTTTCATCAATGGAAATAATCATGACCATTTGCTTCTAAGATGACCATCTGCTAATCTGGATGGCATGAATTTGTTCAAAGAGCATTTCTATGACCCAATAGATGTCACAACAATCTTCCTGGACAATATTTCAAGTCAGTAAGTAATTCAAGTCAATAAAAACACAAAGACATGTTACTCAGGTAAATATTATGACTTTATAGGCTCTGTAAATTAAAAAATGAAGCAAATTGAGAAAAAAAACTTTGGCCAAAATAATTCTACACTTGATCTTAGCCAAAAGGCCAAGAAGCAATAGCCAAAATAATTCTCCTTATTTTTTATTTTATTTTTTGTCTTGCCAAAAATATTAAAGCTCTAACCTTGCTTTGTGTAGGATTATAGGAATCCTATGTCTTACATTACCCAACCTAGGGAGAAAATTCAGTAGACAGTCCCTTTTGAGATGTCTTTAAAGAAATATAAAACCTACACCCTAAAGATATAATGCAGCTAGTCACCATTTATGAAACCCTTTGATTAGAGGGTCATTCATGTGGGGCTTAAGAATTTCCTCTTGTAAAATACCCCTAGCAATGATAACCTATCATTTCACAGCTCAGTATCAGTTATCAAATAATTGAGAGAGGAGAAAAGCCACACACAAGAAAATTCAACCACTTATTCTGCAGCATGTCCTTGCCTCCTTTTTTGATGCAAATGTAAGTTGAAAATGATATAAATAATAATAGTCATTAATATCAGACCCTGAATTGTTTGCATGTCTTAGCTTACTTAATACAGGCAACAATCTAGGAGGCAAGTGTCATTCCTTTCCATTTTAGATACAAAGGAACTGAGCATCAGAGACTAAATAACAAGATGGATTTCAGAAAATAAGCTGAGGAATTGGATTTGAGCCCAAGCTTTTAGTGATCATCTTATACTATTTCTTGGTGCATTACAATTTCATGATTAGCTTACGATTTCTCTTTAATTTTATCTAATTAGAGTCAGTGATCTAACAAAAACGGTAAACAAAGGACAGATTCAAACAATGCAGCATGTGAAATTACAAGGAGAGGGGCCCTTGGGGAGGCACCTTCAAGATGGACCACACCTATCCACTCACTTTAAATTACACCCTCCCTCACCCTATGGTTCTCTGAGCATCCTCTGGATGCTACAATGTAGCAACTAACATGCTGCAGTTTTGGGTTTACCCAATTGTCCAGACAGGTTATAACCTGTCTTTTAAAAAAAGATTATGATCTTGCTTGAAGATTCATAACCACACCTGTTTGTGATTTAGCCCCTTCTCAAAGCTAGTACTCAAATACATTACAGGTAAGTGATGGCTGGATGAAAGAACAGAAAACTGAAAAGGAACGGTGGTTGAAAATCAACCGAAGTTGGTGGTTAGGACATTGCTTTCTTCCTTCTTGCATTCTTTCTTATATTTTGTACTTAGCAAGAGCCAAATATTCCAAAGAGACTGCCTAGATTTGAATCTTGGCTCTACTCCATGCTGTGTGAGCTTGGGTAAGTGACTTAGTTTCTTAGTTTGTAAAATGGACCTAACAAGAGTATCCACCTTTTGTATTATTGAGAAACTTAGTAGTGGTCACCCAAGATCAGTTTTAAGCACGATTCCTATTCAACTAAGACTGTTCTATTATTCTAATAGACTATCTTTTCCCAATAATATCCTTATGCTACCTAAATTTTGATTATTCCTTTTTCTATGATTAAAAGACTACCTCCTCTCCTGAAAATTTTTTCCTCATATAGACTGAAGGTAAATTTAAAGGTAGTAAATTTGAAGATATTGAATTTGTCAATGACCAGCTTAAGCTGATATTTCAAAACAGTAGATATTATCATTTGTGATCTCACTTTGCCTCCTCTATTTCTCATTTGCTGGATCTGACCCTGAAGTTATTGGGGTGCATAAGTCGCTCATAAGTAAACCAGTAACCTCTGGTCAAGAGATTCATAATGATCTGTCCCACCACCCAGAGAACTATCTTTCTCTCTTATAAACCATTAACTGCAACTTAACAAGTTTTATATTGAGCAAAGCCTGCCCAATAAAAATGAAAATGAAAATAATTTATCTTTATGTTCCACAACTTGTTGAGTAATACAAACATCTATTCTGAATATAGTTTTCACAGTTACACATCATATCTTTTTTTTCACAAAGAAAAAAACATAGAAAATCCACTTTTACCTTATAAGGTCTGGGTAGATTGGGCTCCTGGTATCTCAGTTTCAGTAGTCCTATCATTGATAATACATTCCAAATGGAAAGCACAAAAAAAAGATAGTTTATCAGTTCAATTAGGCTTGTTAAGACAATTGCAACGGATCCCATTATGACATTTAGGAACACAGATATAAATGGAGAGGAGTGAATATTAAGTGTATTGAATATTAAAGGCAGCTGGCCTTGCTGTCCAGCAATATATGTCCCTCTTGTTGATTCAAGTACATTAGTCAGAAGATTGCTAAATAATGAGGCAGAAATAGCAAAAGGAATAAACCATGTTAATTGAGGGACAACTTTATCAGTCCATGTGATAGCCACAGCATCTGCAGAGAAACAAAAATACACGAAAGAAAATGTGTTAAGAAAGAGACTACTACCAATAATAATCATAAATAAAGAAACGGACAAATCTTTTAAAAATAATATTTCACAGTGAAAGTCCAAAGTTTAAAAAGTCATTAAGAAAATTTAATTTTGTTCAATTTTCTTATTTCCTTGTTTTACATTTACATATTATCTTATGCATGCATCCTTTTTAGCTCTGTCACAACGCATCATAAATGGTCGTCATTTTTATGTCTTCTACAAATAATCAGGAACCTTTTAAAGTCAAGAACCTTTCATTTCACTTCTTTTAAACTAGTACTTCACTCACTGACAGACATACAGTGAGTCTTTAAAACATACTCATGAAACAAATTAGCTCTGTTGAATGGATGCTTGAAAGCATGCTCATTTACTAAAGGGAAAAAGTCAGAAAAGCATGGTGCAACACAGCTGACACAGGAATGAGGCCTACCCATAAAATGGTAGAAGTTAAAATATTTAGAAAAGTGAGCCACGTAGGTTGGAAAGAAAAAGAATTACACACAGTTATTTAAAACAACATTTGAGACTGGTCTAAACTATGGACCAGTGGTCCTCAGCAGAGATGATTTTCCTCTTCAGAGGTCACGTGAGACTTTTTTGGTTATCACAACTAGGGAGGGAGGAAGTTTCTATTAGCTCCTAGTGGGTAGAAGTCAAGGATGTTACTAACTGTCCTACAATGCACAGGACAAATAGCTACAACAAGAAAGTCTGTGACCCAGGGTTGGGCATGTAACTCAGTGACAGAGAATTTGCCTGGCATGCATAAGGCCCTGGGCTCACTCCCCAGCTATGGGAGCCAGGATGGGCAGGGAAATTGTACAAAAATGTCAATAGTGCTGAAATTCTCCTATGTACACTAATTATTAGAGAATATTCTGGGGGGGGGGTTATTTGTTTTTGTTTTTTTGCTTAAAAGTGAAGAGACCTTATAAAATTAGTATGTCAGTAGGTATAAAAATCACCAGCAAAGAGAAGCATTCATTTCACGTGAGAATTCGTTTCGTATTCCATAGATATAAACTAGGGCAGATCACACCCTCACAGAGAAGCAAGTTCTCAGTTTTTCAGTGGAATGAGGACAGCAGCACCTAATGTCCTCGGGGGTGTGTGCCTTCTGGGGCTACTTTTGTGCATAGATAGCTTGGTTTCTAGAGGAGCCTCTAGAACATTAATATTCTTTTCAAGTGTGGCTTTAAAATTAAAAGGTCATCAATGGCTCTTATTCTTAAAATCTTTATTTTTTAACCCATTTTAAGCAGACCTAAGTGTCATATCACTTCTCTCTTTAGTATTATGCTACAATATTGGGTCTTGTTTTAAAATATATCATATCCTGCCTCAGTTCTTATTCATTTCAAATGAGGTATTGTTGATTGTTCTTCCTGGGCATTCATATCACCACACACCATCCACTTTCAGACACATTTTAGAAATATTTATTTCCCATAATGCAAAGAAAATTCTCTTTAGATTTCCCTCTGGGTGTTCTACAAATGTGGCTGGTTGTAACCAGGGGAAGGTCCAGGAAGCTCTGAAATAACTAGCAAAAATGATATACAATATCCCTATATAATTGTTACTGATATCCCATAAGTGATTTTTTTTTACTCCTTTTCATGTGTCATTTTTTTCTTTGAAAAATCTCATCATATATGGTTTTGGTAAAAAGTAAAATAAATATCACTGAAGCTCATAAAGTAAAAACTAAATGTCCTCGCTTTCCTCACCAGCCTTTCATTCACATGATCTAAAAGTAACCACTATTAACATCTGCCCAATCCTTTTGCAGAAATGTTCTATGATTATAGTGTATAAGAATCTATGAGAAGTGTATACATGTGTGACTGGAGCCATGCATTTGTGGGCATGCTTGTATGTTTCCATGCTTTTAAAAAAACTTTCCAGTATATCTCGGTCCCATTAGTGCAAATACACCCATCTAATTATCTTAGTGAATTCTCAATATTCCATTTTATTACCATAAGTTAATTTATCTACTCAGTTCATATTGGTGGGTTTATAGGTTGTTTCAAGTTTTGCTAGTATAAAACGTGCTTTAATAAAAATGTTCATGCTTTCATTCTTGACAGTTATTTAATTCTCAGTAAATTCTCAGAAGGGAAACTTGTGAATCCAAAGGTTTAGACATTATCAAATAAGGGCAATATTATCAAATTACCCTCCAAAAATGATTGCACCCATTTACCAGCAATAACTCTAAAATTCTCTTTCACTTCAAATTTCTTTACACCTGCATATTTGAGACCACTTCCTGCAGGCTGCTTCTGAACAAGGAAGCCTTCTTAGCTTTTGTCCCTTTGCCATTTAGTTAGTGTTTTCGATGAACTTGTCCTAAACCAATGTTCTCTAGTTTTAAGTAGGACATAGAAACCTCAAAGACACCAAGCGTGAGCACTCAGGTCAGCAATGTGTTTAAAGGGTGTCCGGACCTAAAGTTCTCAGGCTGAACAAACTGGAGCCAGGGCTTCTCACTTGGATATTTCCACATCCCTCATTCTAGAGGGACACCTTTCTTTCTCCACTTGTAGAGCTTATTCACAATGAAGGTTATTTTTTTTTCCTTGTAAGAGAGCAATGTGTGACGAAATAAGCCAGAGCTCTGACACTGACAAAAACATTATATGGTAATACTACTGCCTTTTTCATTATATAAACAACAGAATTTAGTCTTTCTTGCAGCTAGGCATAATTTTTTTTTCAATGTTCCTCAAACAAAATGTAACAACCAATTCACACTGCATTATGGATATCCTATGTTCGTTTGGAAGTTTTTCACATATTTTAGATGTACCTGTTTTGTTTTGTTTTCCAGTACTGGGGACTGAACCGATGTGCATGCTAGGCAAGCACTCTAGGGCTAACCTACATCCCCACCATTTTGTTTTTTAGGCAGGATCTTTTTAAGTTTCCCAGGCTGGCCTCAAACTTGTGAACCTCTATCCTTAGCCTGCTGAGTAGCTGGATTACAGGTGTGTGCCATCAAATTGGTTTACCTATACCTGTTTAATTAAAAGAAACTGTACCCTTTGGTCCTTAAATTTTGAAATTTTAAGAACCTCTTTCTTTAGTTTATAACTTTTCCCACTAAGTGTGCACCTCATTAATGAAAATTTTAAAAATTCAATGGAAATAATAAAGCAAAAATTACCCACAATTTCTTAGTTGATCACCATTGTTGATATTAATTTTTTTATTTTTAAAATGTATTTTATTAGTGTCTATTGAAGTTACAAAACATTAGGTTTCAATGTGGTTTTTTGCATATATTTTGATCATATCCATCCCCTTTGTTTTTCTTTCTTACCTCTTTCCATTCCCTTTCTCTTGTCTAATAAATATTCTTCCTACTGCTTTCATTTTATCCTTTTTAGATTCCACATGTTAGGGAATATGTGCAGTACTTGTCTTTCTGAGTCTGGCTAATTTTGATTAACATAATCTCCAGTTTCATTCTTACTTTCTATTTTATAAGAGAACATAGATCTTGCCTTTTCCATGATTACCACATTATAAACATTGTATCTATCGTCAGTATAGTCTTTTATACAGCTCAGAATGTTCTATTACATGAATCATAATATTTATTTATTCATTTCAAACTATTGTATATTTTGGTGATCTGTAAATTTTTGCTACTATACCTAATGATATGATAGCCATCCCTATATACACACTTTCTATACGTATTTTCTCTTACAGTTCTGATTATTTTCCCATTTTAAGTTCCTAATATGATAAAAGTACTGATATTTAAATTCAAAGACATTAATTCAGAATATGAGCAAAAACCTAAGGATTATATGCCTGAAAGAGTATGCACTGTAAACTAAATTATAAGCAATTATTGTCAAAGTACTTTAATAAGCTTTCCGCACACTATGAAACTATGTATTGTGCCAGCCACAAAATTGGTGCAACCATTACAACCTGCTAGAGGAGACATTTACTGTCTCATGATGAGCTGCATGGCCAGAGCACTAGAAGTCGTATCAAACTCTAGCTTCTGTGAACCATAATGGCTGCCCCAACTGACCAGCAGCCCTGGCCACACACACAGTTAACTTTATAAATTTACTCTTTACACAATCAAGATAGTTGGTAAATCACCAGTTGCTCTTACCCAGTTTTGTATTGGTTTGTTCCCACAAATCCTCAGAATCCTGACCTTATCTAGTTCCCTGGCCAGCACACCTAGGCCATTAGGAGTCAACACTATTGTTCACTCCATGAGGCAACATCTTGCATACCAGTCACAGGGGAACTGAGACAGTTTCTTAGAATATTTATATTAAAACCACCCTTAGGTTTGAAGATTCCCATTATAAATGATAATGTTTAAGGAGGTAGAACTACTAAAAACCCTAATTTGATCATCATATCTTGTATACAATGTATACATTTCATACATTTCATACCTAAATACACACTATACATCTATCTAACCATATATAAATATATATAATTACTAATAGCAATAAAAATGCGTATTTTTAAAAACCTCTCAATAACTCCACTGCTTCAAATATTTACCTCCAGTGCCTTAACTAAAACAATAATAGTTGCTAAAGGGATTAGTCCTAAAGGCACTGGATGATGGGATTTATCTCAGAAATTGGTGACTCAAGGTTTAATCCTGGTGTAGAAAACAATTAGTCTTCCATTTCCCCTGTTTTTCATGTATTTCCAAATTTCTTTTTATTCCTTGATTCTGTTTTTATTTTCAAATGTGTGTTTCTTAAAGATTTTCTTATTCTTTGTTCTACAATTTCAGCTTTAAAATAGTAATTGACAGTCCAACTTTCAATATATTCAGTCTTCTAACACAATAAATTGAATTATTTAAGGCAAACAACTACAGTATTTTATATGTTAATATTAATTATATGCATTAATTGACTGTTAGTATTTACTCTTAACTACTGATACCTTGCATTTCAAATTTATCATTCTTCATATCACTTAGAAGAGTATAGAGAATCAAATGTTTTGAAAGTTATAACGGATATAAGTACTGATTACATAGTGCCACACTAATGAGAAGAGATCATGAAAGGAATAGCTAATATTTTGACTTTGGACTGTATTATATACCAGCATTATGCAATCATTTTCCATATTATCAGAAAATGTACAGCCACGTTTAAACATGAATCTTCTTTCTAGGCCAACTCATCTTCTTTAGCACTCTGTTATTAGAAAATTACAAGTCACCTTTATATATAGAATAATGAACAGCAAGCAACAGTCTCCACTGGTAAAATGATACTTTCAGTGTGCTGAAATAACCTGCCCTTTATTTATTGCCTGGGCCTCGTGTGTACAAACCTGAAGAAAGAATTTCCCTGGGCGTCAGAACAGTCATGTAGGAAATGTTAATCAGTAAATAGAGAACAGTCACCAGAGGGAGTGCCGTAAATATGGATCTGGGAATGGTCTTACTGGGGTTCTTCAGCTCTCCTATAACAAATAAAAGAGAAAAAGCATAATTGGTAAAATTTAATTCTTAAATTTATCTTTAAAATTGTTTCATGTGGGGACTAGGGTATAGCTCAGTGGTAAAGTGCTTTGCCCCTGGCTCCTATCCAGCACATACCTAGCACTGCGAAAAAAAAATTATTCCATGTGTCAAATTCTAGGCTGGGTTCTTTTTCCTATCCACTCTATACCACACACACACACACACACACACCAGGAGAGAGAAAGAGAGAGAAAGGGCTGTACACCCAGGTCCTTCTGAGTTGGGTGCTACATGAAGAAAAGAGAAAATGTCCTAAATTTTCCTAGTAGATGGCAACATTACTAGAGAGAGACACAAGAATAAAAAATGGAATTTGAACCTACATTTTCAGCCTCCTCTAGTAGGAATTCTCTTTGATTTTCTGAGACAGGATCTCATTATGTAGTGCAGGCTGCCTCAACTCAATGTACACCAGGCTGGTCTCAAACTCATAGTGATCCTCTTTCCTCAGCCTCCTGAGAGCTGGGATTACAGGAATTCACCACCACACCCAGCCCTCTAGTAAGAATTCTGCACTGAGTTTACAGAACTGAGTTTGGGCAGTGGGAATACAATAGTGAACAAAAACTACATGATGTTTAACCTCAGGAAAAGAAGTTGCATGTTAGTTACTCATATAAACATGAGCAAAAATACAGACTATGGTAGGTGGCCATATGAAAAGAAACTAAATGTTGTGAAAATTTATTGCATGGCAAGCTGATAGTCCCTTTTGCCATCTTTATTCTGTATAGTGAGACTCGCCTTCTTTCATGTCTCAGAAATTCCATGCCCCTTCTTGCCATAGTGCCCTTTCTCTTAGGCAGAATGATCTTTCTTGTCCCAATTGCCAGGTTGTTCCCTACTTTCCCTTTAGATCTCTGCATAATCATTATTTCTTCTGGGAGAATAGGAGAAGAAATTCTCTTACTGGGTAACACAATTGCCTGGTTAGACATTCTCAAGGCATATGTTCAAAAGGAGTTAAAAAGCCAATCATAAATTCCCCCTATAGCTTTCTACCATTTGTTTATTCCAACAGCAAGCACATAAAAGAGAAAAAAATGGGCTGGATGTGTAGCCCAGTAGTAAAGGCCTTGTTTCAGGTAGAAGCTCTGGGTTTCATCCCCAGCACTACAAAGAGAGGGAGGGAAGAAAAAGGATGAGGGAGAGAAGGGGAGAGGGAAGGTAGGAGGGAAAGGAAGAGAGAGAGGTGATTCAGCATCATATATAATGGATATTTTAGAACAGTTTATTTTTCCAACATTGTTCGGGTTGTTACACTATTTTTCCCAATTTTGCCATCCTCTAAGAATTATTTCCTGACATGAGTTCCACATGTATAGCCCTGTGTTCAAAATGTAACCCCGTCCTCTCACACAGCAACACAACCGAGTAGGGACCTCTGAGCCACTGTAATCATCACTAGTATATAAAAATTTCTCTCAAGAATTTGAACCAACAGACAATAAGACTAAGAAATCAAGAGAAAAGCAGTGTAATTGTGGTTCTAAAAAAATGAAAGGAGGAACAGTGGGGCATGGTGGCGCACACCTGTAATCCCAGTACTCAGGAGATACCAGCACTGAGGCAGAAGGGTCACTGTGAGTTTGAGGCCAGCCTGGGCTACATAGTGAGCTCAAGCACAGCCTGAACTGCATGGAGAGACCCTGTCACAAAAAATAAACAAAAAAACAAAAAAAAGGAAGATGAGAGATTTCGCTTCTCAAGTCCTACAGCTGACCTATTTCTTGTTGCTGCTAAAGCTTGATTGCTCAGATCTTTCTTGAAATAGAGCATTATTTTTTCCAGTAAGTCCCCCTTTTATTGTTTAAACTAATGTGTGTGGGTTTCTTTTATGTAAAACCAAATCCCCCTGACTAATAATATATATCCTTTCACATATATCAAATTTCTTCCATCTGCACAGAGTTTGAATATAACATCCATGGAGTACATTAATATGAGTTGATTAAGCATTAGAAGAGTAGAAATTAGAGAGCTCTAATTTTAACTCTGCCTGCATTGTTGGCTTTGAATAATGTATTGTCTAGCAAGCTTCCAATTTTCTTGCTTGTATATTGGGGAAAATGGAAACTATACAGACAATAGAATTCCAGTCCCCTTGCCTAACACTTAATAAGCCCTTTAAGAATGGTTGTTGTTAATGACTATGATTATTAAAGCTTTGGAACAAGCAAAAGGGGAACTTTTTAAATAAACAATACTTTCTTTTAAAATCAACTATAGGTTCTCATTATGCATTTGATTTATAGACAAGAGGTAGATATTAGAACTTAATTTGTAATATTAGGTTATAATAACCAGAAAAGTAGTGAATTTTCTTGAAACTTTATCTAAAATATAAGTATTCTGACACCATTCAAAGTCAAATGCCTATATATTACTATTTTACAGGCAGAAGTATATTTAGAACTTAGTCTTCCTTACAATTGGTTTAGTAAATTAACAACCTCACACACCCTGAAATGCCCCCAGAATTTGTTTACTGTCAGCTTCTTGTGAGAAATTCTGTATTCAATTATAAGTTAAAAAATTGTATAAATCTATTTTCAGCAGAGAATAATTATCTACCAATGAAACATTTCTCAGAGTAAGATAGAACTGACTCAAAGAAAAGTCAGAGATATCTCTTCTATTTAAAAAAAATGTTTATGGTGTGTGTGTGTCAGAGAGTGAGAATTTTGATCATTATTTTTGTTTCTGAATTTGCAGTGACACATTTAGTCAAAGACTGCACAAACATCTCACCCTTCCTCTGTATACTTGCCTTGTCAATCATATATATCAAGACCAGCACCTCCAAATGCAAATAATTTTATGGTCACCCAGCATTATGTGCTGTGTCTTCTATGCTTTTGCATTCTTCTGGTCTCCACATCTTCCCTGATATTTTTCTTTGCTAGAATTTCTTTGATTCAATTCAAATTGCCACTTTTCCTATCAATGGCAGTGAAAGGTGACTTTTCCTTCTACTGAATTTCCATAGTAATTATACTGTTCCTTTATGACTACATATTAAATACAATATGCTATGATTTGTTTTCAAGGCACAGAATCAGAGTAATTTTAAGGCAAATCCTGATGTCCATTTTAAAGATCAAAAATAAAAGGAAAAAATAAGTTGAAAGAGGAGGAGATATTTGCCAAGGTTGGTAAATGGCAGAGCTCAGACCAACATCTAAGTATTTCCTCTTTGACTTGACTGTAATACTCTTTAGCATAAAGACTAAGTCTTACTCGTCTGAGATGCCAGGATAGGGTTTTAAGGGTAGTTGCTGATTAAATTATTTAATTCATAATAAAAACATCATCAAGGAATCATACAATAAAGGATAATTTTATATGAGAATCAAGAGTCTACTTCGTATTTAATGTTAATGTAAAGAGCTGGTAAAAAAAAAAAAATAGAAGGTTTTTTTATAAATAACATAAATGAATGTGAAAAGAGCCTGAGAAGGTCGGAGGAAAATGATACGAAGTTCAAAGGAAGAGACTGACTTTGAAAATGAGGAGAAAGCCTTTTGTCCAGACTTTGAAGGGAAGTGTGTTAACTCTCACTCCAGAGCAATCAAGGATATCTATGATCCTCCTCTCTGTAAAAGTACTAAGGAGCCTCGTACAAATGCGAGGTAAAATCCAGCACTATTGCTCTGCTCTGGGCTTCCAAGGGAGTCAAGTAGGAATAGGCCATCTGGATTCTCTCTTTGGCAGCCAACTGCGCAGCTCTGTGATGGTGAACAAGGAATCATGAAATCACTGGAGAAGTTTCTCCTCCAGGTGCCCAAGCTCCTGCAGTCATGGTTACAGGAGCTGGACCCAAATATTTCTTTGCATTTTGGCTAATTTATCACCAGCTACATCCAAGATTGAAATAGAATGACTGATCCTATAGTGTGTGCAGAAAACTATAACTTTATCATTGATTAGAAATAAACCTGTAATGCTATATTCACTTGTAAAAGAAAAAAGTTATAATAAAATATAATTCCAAAAGGAATTAAAATGTGTTATATACATATACCAACTCCCCACGATAAACATAATTATTATGTACTCCAAACATGTACTAGTAAAATTTTGAAAAAAATCAATAAATAAAACTATTTAATAGTCTGGCATTAGATCATTCCTAGATTTACGGTTTCATAGAAGGCAAATATTTCCACAACCTGAGCATTCATGTGTTAACAGAAAGGAAATTACATCAGTTCAGAAGCCCCATATTTGTAGTCCTGAAAAGGAAGCTGAAAAGGAGAAATTGTTTAATAAGATAAGAATTTTGGAGTAAAGGAAAAAAGAATCCTGAATACCCAACAAGTACAACCTGACATGTACTGCTTGAGAAAGTCAAAAATTATTGGATTATTTTTTAAGATAAAAGTTAAAATACAATCAAAAGATGTGTATTTCATAATATATGCAATAAATCATGGCTTGAGTTTTTTTGGATTTTTTCCTCTCAATATATTGTTAATTACCTGCTACCCATGTAAAGCATCCCCCGCCTGAAAATGCAAAAAATCCTTGGAAGATGGCTTCAGTTATCTGGGAAGCATCTGGAAATTCAGCATCAAAAGCATTCTGCAACCTTGCTACATTCTCTTTCTTTCCTCTCACCAGCATGAACACTCCACTGAGGGAAATGAGGCTAAGGATGGCCACTTTTAGCACCATGCTCAGTGTCTGAAGCCAAGTCACCTCTTTCACACCACGAGAATTCAGAATTCCCACTATACACAACATGGCCAGGGCCAGACACTTCATGGCTACCTTTGGGACAGAGCAGCTGGGGTAAAAAGGCTGGATGCTGTACTCGGCAAGGAGTAGGGCTTGACTAGCCACTACCCCCGCCCCAGTGAACAGGGACGTCCAAAGCCTCAGGAAACCAGGTAAGGGGCCGTAGCATCTCTTGATGAAATAGACCTGAGCTCCGCTGAGTGGGAAGGTTATACTTATCTCTGCAAAGCAGAGAGTGACTGTCATGTCTATTAGGGCACAGGTAGCCCAGATACACAGGGCCATCCCTACATTCATGCAGGAGTACTCTAGCACCCCTTTGGGGGACACAAAAATCCCTGCACCAATTATATTAATAATTAAAAAATTTGTGACCCAGAAGTAGCCAAGTTCTCTCTTGAGATATATTTTCTTCTCTTTATCCATTGTAATTGAGAAATTTTAAGATTCTATGTCAATTACAATTTCTGGATATTCCTAGCCTGTCTTTCTAGAAAGGATATCCATGGATTCTCTGAAATAAAATAGCACTGTCCTTTTTGTTCCACCTTCATTAAATATCATCTATTTTTTAATAAGTAACAAAGCATATGTGACACATAAGTTAAACAGTTTATTTGTAAGGGTTTAGTTTGACTTGTCCTTTAATTATTATCAAAGTAATACATTCAAGTTGTGGGAAAGAGGAATTTCAAAGAAGACAAGGATTACAGTGCAAAGCTTCTCCTCCAAAAAGCCCCTATTTCCAGAGTAGTGTTCTTAGTTCTAAGACATGTGTTTTAAGACTTATCTCAGCTCCTTGAAAAAGTCCTATTTGCAGGGCATACCTTGTCATTTGAAGATTCAGAGATTGCTCTGAGGGAAAATCCCAATCTGTAGGTCATTTGTCTAAAATAACCAACAGCAATTACCTAACACAGCAACTGCCCAAAGCAACAATACCAGTTTAGAAAAATAGAATCCTGGCCTGGACTATGTAGAAGAAATGACCATAAAGCCTGCAAAAATATCTGGCATAGTCCTGAAGATACAGAAGACTATGCACATGTTCAGGGCTGTGAAAATGCCCAGAAAATTCAGTAAAGCAATTTTTCAAAGCTGGGGAGAAATAAAGGTTCCAAGACAAACAAAAGCTGAAAGAATTTACAGTCAACAGCTCTATCCTAAAGAACCTCCATCAGCCTAAAATGGAAAGGCACTAGATGATAACTCAAATCCACATGAAGAAATAGGGTACCGGTAAAGGCAACTACAAGATAAATATATAAAAAGCAATATAAACGTAATTTTTGTAACTATTTTATTCTCCTGTCTGATTTAAATGACCTGTGTTGATGGTCTTGTAATGGGTAAAGATGTAATTTGACCTGCTGTCCCAAAAGAACATAAACTCATAAAAATTATGTTGCTTATTCATGTTTAAATAACAAAAAGGATTAAACAGAGAATTTTATATAAGTTTTTTTCTGGTAAAAGTGAATAATACTGGAGTGTTTTCAAATTTTAAAAGCACAGCACCATAATATCTACAGATTGCTAAGAAAATTCAGTTTGATTACATCTGCCTTTTTAAAAAAAGGCATAGTTCTTTTCAAATCACAATTGTCATCAACAAAATTAATTAGCATGGTACTTTTTATGATAATCATAGCTATCATCACACATTTTAAAGATCAGTTTCATTGAGGCCAAGTTTATATACAATAGAATTGACTGAATTTGAATTGTACAGCTGAGTCTAAAAAAAGGGGTATATAGTTGTGTAACAAATATAATAACCACAATATAGAACATTTCTGTCATCTCAAAAATGTTCCTCTCCCCTTCTTCACAGGCAATTCCTTTTCTTCATCTGTGATTCTAAGCAATCACAGATCTGCTTTCCGTCATTATAGTTTTGTACTTTCTAGAATTTTGTGTCTGGTTTATTTTATTCAGTGTAATAGGGCTTTTGATTATTTATTATATTTGTGGTGTTAGGGATAGAACACAGGGCCTTGTGCTTGCTGGGTAAATGCTCTACCAAAGGGTACATCCCCGACCTAGTAGGATGGCTTTGAGAGTCATATGTGTATTGAACGTATCTGGTAGTTTGTTTCTTTCTATTGTTACAGAATAGTTCATTGTATGAATATAATACAATTTTTACATCTATGTATTAATTAAAGGACTTTTGAGTTGTTTACGGTTTTTAGCTATTATAAATAAAGTTATAAGGAACATATTAGTATGAGGTGAAAAAAAGATGTAATTCTATACTAATATTGTCGCCAGACAGGGTGCTAGGAGGTCTCTCAGAGAGGAGATGAGGGAGATGGGGACCTCAATTTGGCCTACCAACTAGGTTCTTTTTCTATCTTTTTATTTTTTTTTCCAATGCTAGGGCTTGAATTCAGGCCTTCGCAGTGAGATACACCTTTAGCTCCCCGCCCCCTTTTTTGGTTTTAATTTTGAGACAGGGTATGGCCAAGTTGCCCACACTGAACTTGAACTTGTGTTCCTCCTGCCTCAGTCTCCCAGAGTGCTGGGATTACAAGCCTGCAATATCATACCTGGCTCTGAGTAGGATCGTGACTGTGATCACCAAAAAAGTAGTTCAGGACACATCAGAGTGAGGCATAGGTAAGTTTATTAGATTTAAGACTCCAGTGAGAGTAACTGAAGGGGCTCACTCTGATGTAGGGGTTCAGACTGGTCCTGTCACAAAAGCACAAGGTTAGCTTTTAAGGGTTGGCTGACGTGAGCCAGGTCCCCTCAGTCACTCACTATTTCACTCCTGTTTCCATAGCTCCAAAGGACTCCTCATGGCTTGAGGGGCAATTTTGTTCCCATGAAATGTTTGTCCTTGTTCACGATAGGGACTGCTTTGCTAATACTTCCTGCTTGAGGGCAGGCGATCTCATCATTAGGTTTCTTCCAGGCCCTGCTGGAATCTGGAATTGAAGCCTGACTGGAATCTGAGGTGATTACAGGTTTGGAGACCTCTGCTATTCCCCCGGCCTGGAACTGGACATTGTAAAATCTTGTAATTGGATGACCTTGTAAATTTTGAAAACTACTTTAGTTACTCTTATAGTAACTTTAGTTTCTTTGTATCCTTTCTACTATATTTTTTTCTACCCTACCTCAGTATCACATAGGAAGAGAAGGGAAGAGAGCAAAGTTTCTGTATACGATGGAAATTAAGTTAATATTAATCCAAACTAGGCTGCTTTAAAGTGGAGTTTAATCTCCAAGGCAACCACTGAGAAAGTAACTTTTTGAAATAGAGTAAAAGGAGCCACTGGGGTACTTTAAGCAACACAATAAAACATGTCCATTCAACACAAGAAAGGATAGTAATGAAGGAAGAGAGGACAAAAAAAGATGTAAGACATAGAAAAGAAATGGCAAAATGGCAGACATAAATTCTGTACTACCAGTAATTGCATCAAAGGTAAATAATTAAATGTTTCAAACCAAATGCCAGGGCAGGTCAAATGGATTAAAAACACAATTTAATTATATGCTAATCACAAGAAATAATTAGATTCAATGGCCCCAGTCGATGAAAAGAAATATATAAAGATATATAATACCAACAGTACCCAACCAAGAGCTAGAGAGGCTATACTAGTCAAAGATAAAATAGTATTTCAGTTACTACTAGATAAGGAGAGGCATTTTATAGTGAGAAAGAGAGCAACTCAGCAAGAATAGATAATAGTTGTAAACTTATAAATACTTAAGAACTTACCCCAAAATATGTAAAATTAAAATTAACACAGTTGAAAAAACTTCAACAATAATAGTTGTGAACTTCAATACTCCAGTCTCAAAAAAATGACAGAAAAATTAGAAAGAAAATCAGCAAGAATATATAAAATGTAAAAACCATTATCAACCAACTTGCCTGACACTCATCAACAGAAGAGTTACTCATTCTTTTCTACCACACATGGAATATTCTCAAGTATAAATCATATGCTAAACCATGACATAAGTATTAATAGGTTATAAAGCTGTAAGTCATACAGTTGGAGTTTAGTTTCAAATCAAAAATAGGAAATTACTGTAATCAAAAGTGTATTATTGGCAAAAAAAAAAAAGTCAGACAAATAGATTAAAGAACAGAAATTAGCCCAGAAATAGGTTCACACAGATATAGACGATTGATCTTTGTCAAACAAGGAAAAGCCAATTGCTTTGGGTAACTCTTGTGAGATCTCAGAAGAGGAGCAGACTAGGGAAAGTATGGAATTCAGAGATCACCTGAGATCATGAGCAGAATTCTAAGGAGGTCTCAAATGCAACTGAGAAACAAGGACTTGGAAATTGGAATAAAGAGCATCCTTGTTATAAAGCTGCAAAGAACTTGGCTCTTACTGCTCATGCACTTTATCAAAAATACAATTTAAAAGTAATGAACTAAGATATCTGGCAGAAGAAATGTCTCTGCAGGAAAGCATTCAGGGTTTTGCATGGCTACTTTTAACTATTTGCAGTAAAAATAAGAGAGCAAAGAGATAACGTAAGGTGGAATTTATAAGCTGTGATCAAAATATAGTGAATGTTTAAATTTTAAAAATTTATTACAGTAAAAGATACATTCCAATTAATCCCTCTCAGAATAATCCTGCTTACTTTGAACACACTTATCCCATCATCCTTGCCAGTTTCTGAAGCAGCTCTGGAAGTCTCTTTTGTGAATGTCTTTACAAGGTGTGATAAGAAATACAGCGAATGCTGCTACCATCCAATGGAAAGACAGGCTCATAAAAACATTATAGTTTGTCCTTATCTACCTTATTCACTGGGTCTAGCACTGTGCAACTTCTGGCTCTTCCCTGAAGTCAAAATGACCATGAAAAGAAAATGTTTTGAATCAATTCAGGGCTTGGATTAAGCCCTACAACACACCTACAGACACTTAAGAGAAAAGACTTCTAGATCTGCTTCAGAAAGCAAGAATGATCAGATCAGTGTGTTTAAAGAGAGGGGTAGAATTTTGAGGGAGATTAAGGGCAATGTGTTTTTACTGTAATAAGTTTTTAAATATTTACTGTTTTTCTTGGTCACATCTCAAATAACCAAATGGGAAACAGAATGAAAATATTTAGAAAAGTCTCAACCTAGCCATATCATAGAGAATGCTAGAGCATTTTCAGCTGGGCAAAGTAGCGTGTGCCTACCTTCCAATCTACTCAGGAGGCTGAGGCAGGAGGATTGCCTGAGTCTAGAACTTCAAGGCCACCCTGGCAACAAAGTAAAATCCATCTCTTGAGGGTCTGGAGGGAAGTATTTTCATGGGGTATGGGGTACTAAGGGTAAGGCCAGTGACTACTAGGTAAGGAGATTAGTTAAAAAAATTATCAAGACAATTGGAAGGGGAGGGGACATAAAAGGAATTAAGATATGTTATGTGTATGAACCAATTCCCCACAATGAATGTCATCTTACATACTGCAAACACATATGTGCTAATAAAAATTACAATTGGGAGAAAAAGACAATAGGAGCAAGACCCTGATTGCATTTCAGGGATC